TCAAGGTCGACTCAGCCATCCATCCTTCCAATGTTGGTAAAACGAGGACACAGATTGTTGCAGGCAAGAGGCTGACACTGTAAACTGCTTAGATAGCTATTGCTATCTTGCTATTGGCACTAAGCCAGCCAGCCACCATTTGTACTTAAGGTGGGACTAGAACTCACACTCGCCTGGTTTCTAGGCTCGCACCTTCGCCACTACACCAAACTGGCTATCCAATTCAGTTCATGCCTCTTTCCTGAGAATTGAAGGGGCTGGATACACATGTAAGCACAACTGAATTGCACACTATCAGTATTATTTTAAAAGAAATGTGTACAAAATATAAGCAAACCCAGAAACAATTTTATGCTTGAGGCTGGCAGGTTGCTTGGCTCCGTATAAGCTTCCCAATTATTTCTTTTAAATTAAAATAGTGCTTGGAAAATGATAAAAGGGGCATGGAGGCTAATAAACTCCAAATTATGTATCAGCGGGTACAGAGTGCCTGCAAGGGTCACAATGAGAACGGAGGCCTTGTAAATTTAATTTCCATTTGTCTTATTTATCAGCTTTCTCCATTCTATTTTCACTTATATTGAGCGAGAGGAGGGTTTTTTTTTTCACGCACCTGACAGTCCTCCTCCATCAGATACCTAAGCCCTATTCACACAATCTGTTTATCACACTTCACCAGCAAAGTAGAGAGGGGGTTTATAAATATAATTTCTGGGCAAATCAAAACTTATCTGCACATTCTGAGGAATGTCTTGTTGGAAAAACATATATTTCACGAAGGAAATATATCCCAGGATAATGTTGCAGGATCCAATTTAGATCAGCCACTGGAACCAGAAGCCTTTGGACTCATGCTGGAGCCCATCTGCAGGAAGCTTCACTCTAGCAGAATGTGTATTTTGGGCTACTCAATGCATAGTGTTTATGTGGTGCCTATGCATTTCCTTTGTCGATTGGGGTGTTGATGGCCAGCTATTAAGTCATTGGCTGTTGTGCTTCCAACTCCTTGGTTCATAACTATCTGATAAGCAGCTGGTAAATCAGCCCTCCTGTTGACTGACAAGAGGCCTGTTTCCCAGGCTTTAAAGATTTCCCTGGCTAGCTTTGTCCCTGCTCGGCCAACAATCTTAGTAGCAAATACAATGCATAGAATAGCCCAATGCACACATTCTGCAAGAGCAGGGGTCTTCAAACTTGACAGCTTTAAGATTTGTGAACTTCAAGACCCTTGTGCTAGAGAGAAGTTTAACTTAAAATTTAACTTAGAATAACAGAGTTGGAAAGGACCTTGAAAGTCATCTAGTCATCTTCCCACCCCCCCTACACCATTTCTGACCAAGTAGCTGTCCAATCTCTCCTTGAAAGCCTCCAGTGATGAAGCACCTACAACTTCCGAAGGCAAGATGTTCCACTGATTCTCACTATCAGAAAATTCCTCCTTCTTTCTAGGATGAATCTCTCCTTGAACAGTTTCCATTCATTGTTCCTTGTCTGGCCTTCAGGTGCTTTGGAAAACAGCTTGACCCTTTCCACCTCTCTGTGGCAGCCCCTCAAATATTGGAAGACTGCTATCCTGTCACCCCTGGCTCTTCTCTTCCCTAGACTAGTGAGGTGGCCTGAGGATGGGCTCCAGCGTGGATGCAAAAAGTTCAGAAGACAAAACCTTTCATCCTGGTGACTGACCCAGATTGGATCCTATTTGTTCGGAGGAGAAATAAATATGCATCAGAATAATTAACGTCTCCGGAGACACGGAGGGCATAAGATAATCAGTTCCCAAGTCTAAAATTACCTAATTGCACCATGGCATGACTAAGGTGTGTTGGGCATGTGATGCTGAAGCATCATCACAGCGATGGGATGAAAAAAAGGGGGGGGGATAAATATAGGTTGAGGACTGAGAATCGTACAACCCTTGCTAAGATTGGCTGGGGGGGAAATTGGAGGAAGTTTTGTTTGTCCAACCAAAATCTCTGAGTAACCCATGAGCAGGGCAGAAAAATGATGACTTTATTCTCCGTTATCTTGGGCTCGACCACCTTCCAACTCTCTGATCCTGGGTGGATTTTTCACAACGGACAGGTGTTTTTATGAGGCGCCGCTGTTCAGGGGTGGGATGCTACCGGTTCGTCCTGGTTCTATAGAACCGGTAGCTCCCAAAAGCAGCTGACACCAAACCGGTTCGCTGTGGCCCACCTGCCCACCCGGGCTCTTGGCTGTCCTTTATTTCCTGGGTTTTCAGCCTCAGCTGCTTTGCACAGCACAGCTGATGTTTTTTTTTGCAAATGCTGCACACACACGCGCAGTGCATGTCAAACACGGGTGCACACATAGCATGCGTGTGCACAAAACACACTCTCGCCGAACCGGTAGTAACACCGATGGAATCCCACCCCTGCCACCATTCAAGCGAAATTATTC